TCTGCTTGGAAGAAAACAAAAAAGATGATCTGCAGACTCTGGACTCATGGATCTCATCACCCACTGACCTGGAAAGCGGGCGCGTAAGATCTGCAACATCACATCAACCAGCAGAGAACATGCTTCTTTTGAAGTGGGAGCGTGGCCAAATTGGATTATGCGGCGACTCAGAAGATCAGCTCCCATATATTTGATTACACACACCCCCCCTTCACACAGAGCCTCCCAAGAGCAGGACGCAAAGTGTAAGACTGCTCCCCGATCCCGAGTATGGTGCTCCACGTCTCAGTGCGTGCCCATCTGCCAGCCATTTACCTGATTACTTCAGAACAGCTCTTATGGGCCCAGCTCTGCCAGGGAGGCTGGGAAAGCTTTTGTCTGGGTGGATGTCAGAGATAAGGACCAGGTGACCCCTTCATCTGTCAGAATATAAAAGATACCACGCTTTCTTCATAATCTAGCTACAGAAAATCTTTTTTTAAATGTTATTTTTTGTTTATTTCTTATTAAATTAGGCTAAAAAGACTGAACATGCTACAAGTTTAAGTCTGTGGAAGAATCTGCACAAATGCTTCAGGAAAAAACCCCAGCACATACACTATATTGCCAAAAGTATTTGCTCACCTGCCTTGACTCACATATGAGCTTAAGTGACATCCCGTTCCTAATCCATAGGGTTCAATATGACGTCGGTCCACCCTTTGCAGCTAGAACAGCTTCAACTCTTCTGGGAAGGCTGTCCACAAGGTTTAGGAGTGTGTTTATGGGAATTTTTGACCATTCTTCCAGAAGCGCATTTGTGAGGTCGCACACTGATGTTGGACGAGAAGGCCTGGCTCTCAGTCTCCGCTCTAATTCATCCCAAAGGTGTTCTATCGGGTTGAGGTCAGGACTCTGTGCAGGCCAGTCAAGTTCATCCACACCAGACTCTGTCATCCATGTCTTTATGGACCTTGCTTTGTGCACTGGTGCACAGTCATGTTGGAAGAGGAAGGGGCCAGCTCCAAACTGTTCCCACAAAGTTGGGAGCATGGAATTGTCCAAAATGTCTTGGTATGCTGAAGCATTCAGAGTTCCTTTCACTGGAACTAAGGGGCCAAGCCCAGCTCCTGAAAAACAACCCCACACCATAATCCCCCCTCCACCAAACTTTACACTTGGCACAATGCAGTCAGACAAGTACCGTTCTCCTGGCAACCGCCAAACCCAGACCCGTCCATCAGATTGCCAGATGGAGAAGCGCGACTCGTCACTCCAGAGAACGCGTCTCCACTGCTCTAGAGTCCAGTGGCGGCGTGCTTTACACCACCGCATCCGACGCTTTGCATTGCACTTGGTGATGTATGGCTTGGATGCAGCTGCTCGACCATGGAAACCCATTCCATGAAGCTCTCTGCGCACTGTTCTTGAGCTAATCTGAAGGCCACATGAAGTTTGGAGGTCTGTAGTGATTGACTCTGCAGAAAGTTGGCGACCTCTTCGCACTATGCGCGTCAGCATCCGCTGACCCCGCTCCGTCAGTTTACGTGGCCTACCACTTCGTGGCTGAGTTGCTGTCGTTCCCAAACACTTCCATTTTCTTATAATACAGCTGACAGTTGACTGTGGAATATTTAGGAGCGAGGAAATTTCACGACTGGATTTGTTGCACAGGTGGCATCCTATCACAGTTCCACGCTGGAATTCACTGAGCTCCTGAGAGCGACCCATTCTTTCACAAATGTTTGTAAAAACAGTCTGCATGCCTAGGTGCTTGAATTTATACACCTGTGGCCATGGAAGTGATTGGAACACCTGATTCCAATAATTTGGATGGGTGAGCAAATACTTTTGGCAATATAGTGTATATGTTTTTGTGCTGATTCATACTTTTTTTTTGGCTACTCTACCTATAAGCTACCATTTACAGCCTCAAGATATTCCTCAACCTGTAGAGGTCCTCGAAAAGAACATGCCGTTCTCATTATCTGCTCGCAGCCAAACCTACTGTATAAATAAGGTTTCAAGCACAGACTAAAAATCCCTTCGCTCAAGCATGGCGCACAGACCACCTTCTATTTCGGAGGAAAATAACATCCAGTGCCGGTTTAACTTGGACTCATTATGGTGGAAGTGGGTTCAGGCGCAGGAAGTTTCATTGCTTTCCAAATAAAGCTTTCTAAACAGAGCAGCAATCCAAATTCCTTAAACTTCTGCAATCCTGTCCAAGGCTTTTCACATTAAGTGAAAACTCCCCAAAATTCTGCTTATCCAGGTTCACCTTTTTCAAAGGGAGGGGGGGAAAAAGTCATTTGTGATTGTTTGGACATGAAAGACTGAAGCAGACCTTTAAATTCAAACCAGGCTGGGGGAAAATTATCAATAACGACTGAGGCCTCATGACATTCCTGCAGCGGGTTTTCATTACCTCACTGCTCACAAATCAAAAACATCACCTTTGATCATATTTCACTGAATTTGGCAATGAGACTCTCAGAGGATGCTGTGGGCTTGCCTATCAGTCAGGGTCTCATCTAAATGCTCAATTCAGAGAGCTTATGTCGTTTCTTCTTCACCATAGAGAGGGATCGGCCCAGAAAACCCCTGCTTTCATTGCCACTTGAAATTCAGAAAGGGGTGAGACCAGTTCCAGCTCCTTCACTGTGTGGAAAAAAAAAAAAGGAACATGTCAGTGAGCATAAACAGCTCTACTGGCAGAGATCCACCCCCTCATCCAATCCGGCCCAGTCGCCCCCCTCCAACACCCCATCTCTGTGTGCTGTGTGGCGTCAGCAGCAATGAGCTCCAGATGTGGCCTGGCACCCCTCCGGTCACGGAATGGATGTGGTTTGAAGGTAGTTTGGAAACAACACCCACCAGCGGACCCAATGAAAGTGCATCAGGGCTGCGGCGAGAAGTTTCTGCTGTTGGTTCTGATCTGCATTCATTGCATGAAAACAGGATAGAGGGGGATGAGGGGAGTCTGCCTCCTCTATGTGCATTTGTTACATATTTAACATGCTTTGACATGTTAGACATGCTAGACAACAGCTAAGAAGTATTTCCATCCGTCTTAGCTGGGATGGAGATTTATTCTATATACATTTTATGGAGCCCAAAGGAATATACTTTCATGCTTAGTATAAAGTCAAAAAATGCTTCTATAACAGAATACTTTGATGAATCAGTAAATCCTCTGGGTTTTTTAAAATTATATTGTTGTTCTGGTTGTATCTCATCTGATATATTCCAAGGAGTTTTCCAATACTGTGGTAATAAGGACACTTTGTTAGCTGCCATAAAATGCACTGGTGGGTTGAAAAAAATGGAAAATTTCCTTTAGACAATAGCTCCCCCTACTGTCTGAGATTATAAAACCTCTCATTCTGCACATTCAAAGTCATCTAATTACTGCATGCTATGGGTAACAATTAACTCTAAGAAAAAAAAGAGGCTACATGTTAATAAAAAATATCACCAATCAATGAGGTAATTTTTTCCCAGTTTTTTTTTTGCAGTTAAATGCAGTCAAACATATCTGAGTTAAAAACTCTTGACTACATTGGTGAAAGGCAAGACATTTTTGTTTTTCGACAGTAGGCTGACAGGAAAGGGTGTATGAGACAGAGGGAGAGACATGCGGCAAAGGATCACAGTTCAGATTCAAACCCAGGTCGGCCGTGTCGAGCACTAAGGCCTCCATACATGGGTCCTGTGCTCTAACCGCTGCAACACTTGCAAGGAAACTAAGTTGTTTTAAATTACCAAATAAATTCAGTTTTAAACACAGAGGCTTATAACCAGGCCTCATGCTGCTATCAACCTGTCTGCTGATGTTTGTCCACCATCACCTTCATACCTTAATATTCAGCCCTTTCACACTAATTTGAGGTGCATTCATGTGGATTGATCTGCTATAAAACACTTGAGATTCATTATTGGACTTAATTCAGTTCAGTTTATTTGGATAACATGTTGACCTTTCAGCAGTCTGTGATAGTGAGCATGCACACAGAGATCTGCAGCGTCAGGGAAGTCACTGGTGGGAACCTTCCTCAAGTGTTTCATGTGTATCCGCCTGTTTGAACTGTTGTTGAACTGTAGAAGGATGAATATGGTCCAAAATGCTTTGCGTAGGATCTTTAAATTGCTTTCTGAGTCAAACAATATGCATCTTGCTTCATTTTATTGTTATTTTAGTAAAACATCTTTTCCTGAGCTCATTTCATTGGCAATCATCTACAATTCTCCACTTAATCCATCGAAATGCAGAAGAAACATTTATTTCCTTATTGACCAGACTATAAACTCTTCTTAAGACTTTTTTGCGTTATTTAAATCATAAAAACTTCCAGAATAAAGACTAGAATACAGAAAATAAACAATGTAACCCATAACATGTAAAAATCCGATTTATTATATATTTTTTTATATCAACATGTGTTTGTGGGCTATAATCTATAGTAAAAGAGCAGCGTTTTTTAACCAACCACAGGCAGGAACCAGTAACCATTTATGATTAAGTGTTGCTGATGTTGAATCAGCAGAGAATCAAAGTGTTGGATTTAGAACAACAGAAGAACCGAGAAGAAAACCAAACTTCGATAATCAACCTTGATCCACTTTGGTTTCATTTACCTTAGTTTTGAACTCTAATCTTTAAAAGTTCCAGAAATCTCTGTGTTATAGTGAAACGATGCTTATTTCGAAATAAAATATTAAATAAATTATCGAATGCAAACTACAGCCAACACAGAAACAGCAAAACAATGTCCGCCATGATTCTATCAGTTTCCCACACTGGAAAAAGTTTAAATCTAGATAAGTCATTTTTTCTTAAAATAAGTGCATTTGTTCTTGGATTGAGGAGGTAAAAGAGACATTTTGCCAATGAAACAAGATCATTTACACTTAAAATAAGAAAACACAATTGCATTGTCTTATTTCAATTGCACATTATCTAACTATCTTATTTTAAGCTTAAAAATCCTCATTCCATTGGCAAACTATCTCATTTACCAACTCAAAATAAGGGTAAATGCACTTAATTTAGGACATTTTTACTCATTTCTTGATGGTTTTTCCAGTGCAAAGTCTTCATCCTGTATGTTTTTTATTCTCTGACAAAGTATGACTTTATTGTCTCTGTCCGTTCTGATCAGGTGGTTTCAGGAGCTCCTGCAGATCTCCCTGCTGAGCCAGCTGGTAGGGTAGCTGGAGCTTCTGGTTCATCTGGCTGCGCAGAGCTGGGCAGCAGTCTATTAGCAGCCGACATACATCTGTGTGACCCTGTCCTGCAGCCTGAGAAATAAACAAAGAAATGATCACAGGCAACGATTGATCAAAGGTCATTCTGTAAAACGGCTTGACTACTCTTACAGAGAAACTGATTAGAGATCTAGCGTGATTTTCAACCTGGTTCCAAGCCAGTAAGTTGTCTTTGAATGTGAAAAAATGCAATTTTATGGTTTTTGATTTGCACAAAAATTATGCAGTTGATGAAATAAGAATTAAGTTACCACTGTTTGTTTTTTTGGGTGTTTAACTTGAGGACAAACTCCTTTGCAGCGAACAAATTGGTACAGTCTGCAAAAAAGTCACTAAATCTCTCGGTATTTTGAGAAGGATTAGAAATTTTTTTCACAATAACTCAACTCAACTTTATTGTCAAATGTGCTACATGTAAACATACAACACAGATGAAATTTCCGTCCTCTCAACCCCACGGTGCATAATAAAATATATATATATATATATATATATAAAATGAACCATAGCATAAAAATAAAAACCTAAGATATAAAAATAAATATTAAAATATTAAAATATGTAAACAGTAGCAGGGCAGGGAGGGAATTGAGCATCCTCACTGCCTGGTGGAAGAAGCTGTAATAAAGTAATGTTAACTTTATATTATTAATAATCTATCCATACCTGTCATATTGGAATTTTGTTTGGGCCAGTACAGGTTCTAGTTATCTTTAAAAAATCCTACTTTTGCAAAAAGTGTTTGTTAGCTTACACTGCAAAAACGATCTAGAAATAAGTAAAAAAAATGTTTAAATTAAGTGTATTTATCCTTAATTTGAGTAGGTAAATATGATGATTTGCCAATGAAATTAGTATCTTTAGTCTTAAAATAAGATAATTAGAAAATATCAACTTGAAATAAGACAATGCAATAGTTTTTTCTTATTTTAAATGTAAATTGCCTTGTTCCATTGCTAAAGTGTCTCACTTTCATCCTCAATTCGAGAAAAAAACGCACTTATTTAAAAAAAAAAAATGACTTACTTAGATTTCCATTTTTTTGCAGTGTAGCAACATTTTTTAAAGTTGATACAGCTAGTAGTTTCCTTTTCTCGAAATTACAGCTATTGAATATTTATAAAATTAACATTTATCAAACATGTACCTTTGTTTTTATGATAAAACAAGGTCAGTCTCCTGATAGTTTCAAAAATGATTTTATTAAGAACTAAAAAAGTCAATTTTTATAATACTAGACAAGCTTTGTCTTTTCATTTACCATTAAGTATTAAAACTCAAGTGCAATTCTCTCTTCTGCATCGTGGTGCAAAACTATGGAATGAATATAGAAAATATTTGGAATTTTCAGAAATAAATGGTAGAAAGTCTTTGAAGAAAATTATCCAAAATAAAAAAAGACAGTGATGTATGACTTTAGAAACATCGACTCCCTGAAATCTAAAAGTTAAAATCTAAAGAAAAATGTTACTGTACCTGTGTTTTCTGTTTTCTCATGTCTTTCATAATGTGAGTTGCCGGATGTTTTGTTGTTTTAGGGGTGTGGCCTTTGGTTATAAGCTCTATGGGGTTTCTGTCACACTCCATCACATTTCTTATTTTATTGATGTATTCTGAGTTTCTATTTAGATTTGTGAAAAAATAAAATAAAAAAACGGTAGCACGGCTAATGTTATACCTTGTGTAAAGGATTTGCACCATCATCGTCACAGAGTGAAGGGTCGGCTCCGCATCGCAGAAGGAGCCCAACCACATCAAGATGGCCGCAGTAAGCTGCTCTATGGAGTGGCGTGGCCCCGCCCGGCGTCTGGGGCAATGGACACGCTCCGTTCTCCAGGAGAAAGGCGCAGACAGAGAGATGGCCGTTACGGCTCCCGTAGTGCTGAGGAAAAAAAAATAAAAAATTCACTCATTTATGTAACACTATGTGACACAAAATGTGTCACTTATAAAACTATTTAAAAGCTAAACATAACGGAAAACAGAAACATAAGAAAAATAAAACGCCTACGATGAGAGGTTTGTTTTAAAATTGACCAAGTCTTAAGACAGACAATTTTTTTGTTTACTGATATAACTGGCCTGCTTAAGATAACGGGGGGGGGGGGGGGGGGGAACACAGATTTTAGGACAAGATTCTTTTTTTAAATAGAAATTTTCCAACTTTCAGGACAATATGGTCTGATAAAGAATACATTTATGTACATTTTTAAGCAAGAATGATTTCCCTAAGACTTTAATGGCAAACAATGGAGATAGAATCTGTGCCTATTTGAACATATTTTGAGTGTCAAAAATAAAAAATTGTAGAATAATATCATCTGGGAAAAATTTTTCTGATTTGGACAAGTTAATACAGTGGGAATGCAGACAATCAGTTAAAAGCAGCATGACTAAACTCTAATATTGTAACATTAGAGAAAAACAGCAAAACAGAACACATTCGTTTTAAGGCTTCATACCATTTTTTTTTTAAGTTTTTTAGTTATTTTTTATAAAATCAAATCAATTAAATTAAATCAATGCAAGCAAATGTTTGTAAGGAGTTGATGGCAGAAAATCCAGCTGTTTAGAGGTAATCTAAAGAGGTTGGGTTGGAGCTAAAAAAAAAAAAAAAAGTCAGCTTTAAAAAAAAAAAAAAAAATTTGTTTCAACTTTGTTATATTGTAATGTCTTTTGATATTTTTTGTAATTATTTCCTCCAATTCCATGACGAAACTTCATCTTTCTTTTACGGTGACTCTCAAACTGCACAAATTATTAGCTCATTTAAAACAGGGCGGATCTAAAGCTGTTTACACTTCTTATCCTTTACAAACTAAATCTTTGTACATCAACCGCAACAGTCATCTCAGATCAGTTCAAAATAAAGTTATTAATGCCAAAGGAAGACAAACTGTTTTATTTTCGTCATACGGAAGTTTATTTACAGAGATGTTGTGCTTGGCGACGGCTGTGGGCAGGAAGAGTCTTTTATAGTTTGTCTTCCTGCAGATCTGAATGAACCTCGAATCAAACCCAGAGCTAGAAACCAATTAGATTTACTCAGCTACAGTTACTGACTAACTTTTAGAAAAATAATAAAAATAGTTTTATTGTACGATACTTTTTATATTACTTAATATATTTTTTGTGCCAAGCTCCATCTTATATCAGAGATCTGATTGTTCCTTATGTTCCTAACAGAGCACTTCGCTCTCAATCTGCAGGTTTACTAGTTGTTCCTAGAATTTCTAAAAGTAGAATGGGAGGCAGATCTTTTAGTTCTCAGGCTCCTCTCCTGTGGAACCAACTACCAGTTTTAGTCCGTGAGGCAGACACCCTGTCTACTTTTAAGGCTAGGCTTAAAACTTTCCTTTTTGATAAAGCTTATAGTTAGAGTTTCATCTATCTCGTTCAATCTCTAACGTTGTGCTCTCTCTTTTTCTCATAGTAGCTTTGCTTCATCTGTTCCTGTTTAGCTGTGACTCCATCCTGGAGAGAAATATCAGCTGTGCTGCTGCCATCAACACCTTTGTTTATAGATGTTCGAGATCGGCCTGTTTTTCAGTGTAGTCCTGTTTCTCTGACTGTGACTGGCTGGATGTGCTCTCTTCATCCTCTGACATGGGAACTGGCTCGGAGCTTGTCTGCCTTGCTGTGTGTTTCCTGGACGGGGCCGCCTTTTACAGCTGCTTTTTGTGTCTCTGCTTCTGTCTCCTTGAACCCCAGTCGGCATCAGCAGATGGCCGCTCACACTGAGCCCGGTTCTGCTGCAAGTTTCTTCCTGTTAAAAGGGAGTTTTTCCTCTCCACTGTCGCTACAAGCATGCTTAGTGTGAGTGTAATCACTCCCGCCGGCACCACAAAGTTCTCGTGACCATCCGCCGAAGTTCTCGCCAATTCTCGAATAGTGTCCCCCTTGCTCTTTGTCGGGAAACTGCTGTGCGTCCGTAGAAATTCCAGACCGACGGTGTAGAAAGCATAGCCTCGTGAGACCATCCTGATCTCGCGAGCTTTCAAGGTTTCACTCGCTAATCAGTCTGGAGACTCTCCGTTAAAGAAAATTTGGAGCCGTTCACCAAACGAACGTCCAATCAGCGTTGGCTTTGAGGCGGGTTGAGGTGTGACGCAACGAGAAGCGCGACAGTTCAGTCTAAAGAACATGGCGGCTTCAGCCGATGAAACTAGCGTTAGCGTGGCTATCGAGCAAGTTTTATCGGAATTACAGAGTATTTCTTCACTGAAAGAAGAGCAAAACACTGCTCTGGAGGCTTTTCTCAGAGGAAAAGGTGTTTTTGCTCTTCTCCTGACTGGTTTCTGCAAGAGTTTGATCTATCAATTGGCTCCTCTTCGTCGTAGCTCTGTTGGTACGTCATATGCCTCGTTGATCTGATTGGTTTATTTGGCCCGTCTATCACCAACATAGGCCAATCAGCTAACCAGTATTTTCGCCCCTTCCCAAAATTACTTCAACAGAAGGTTTCCAGATGGATATGCGGAGCAAATCCGTCTGGAATCCATTTTTCCTCATAATTAATAGTTTGTCTTTATGCTTATGTCACTCTGCCAGATTCTGATGGTCAAACTCGTTTTCCTATCATATTTTCAACCATTTCCCAGTTTAAATCTTTCACTTCACGATACTTTTCTGCTTCTTTTCTTTTTATCAAAAATAAATAAATAAATGTATGTGCACAAATAAGTAATAGTATTAACCATACATGTAAAAAGAGTTTTATGGGGCCCCCAGGAACTTGGGGCCCTAGGCAACTGCCTGTTAATACTAGGTAAATGGTAAATCCCCAGACTCACCAGAGCTGTGTACCCAGCTGAATCTCTGCTGTTTGCATCAGTCCCCTTCTGAAGCAACTGCCTCACTCTCAGCAGGTCTCCATCCATTGCAGCTGACCAGATACCTGCAGAAATTCATTACACTTTACTTTTATGGCTGCAACTACAAGCCAGAGGATTTAAATGTGTTGAATTATCTTCAACATGCAAAGCAAACCTCTTTCAAAATCCATTTCCTCCAAAGTCTGATGAACACTGGAGGAGACTGGATAGGAGCAACATGAACAATGGTGTTTGTCAGACATAGCTGTAACTGGAGGGACAGTTTTCTAGATCTTCAAAAAGGCATAAACTTTAAACATCAGTTTACAACTTTCCTGTCATGCATCAAGGCTACACACAGAACCCGCCATAGGCTCAGGCTTTTTAACAAGCTGCAATATCAAGGGTGCGAAAACATTTCAGAAAACGATGGCTTTTGCTGTAATGTGATAAACAGAAAGCGGTTTGAAGTGCATGAACAGAAACTGGTCTGAAAGAAAACGAAGGAGCTCAGAATGGCTGGAAGCTAGCGCTGCAGAGTGGGTGCGCACCATTCTAAAACCGGCGAGGCAGCCGGTTTAATGGGCGGGTTTTTTTTTTTGTTTTTTTTTAAGACGTTTGAATTTGACCTGTCTGACATGTCTTTACAAATTTTCACTGGTTGTAACCTCTTTTGCTAAAATGCGCTTCACTTTGTATATAGCGTGGGGCAATTATTTGATTTGAGAGATTAATTTAATTTTTATGAGGATATAATTTCAGATTTAAAAGTACTTGGATTTTTTTTTTTTTTTTTCACAAAAATGCTCCTTGGGCCTCCACAGATCAGATTGACATCATTCACCTTCATTACTTTTTGTTCTTATATGTCTTTTTCGGCCTGTTTCTCTAACTGTGACTAACTGGATGTGCTCTCTTCATCCTCTGACATGGGAGCTGGCTCAGAGCTCGTCAGCCTGGCTGTGTGTTTCCTGGACAGGGCGGCCTTTTACAGCTGCTTTTTTTATCTCTGCTTCTGTCTCTTGAACCCTCAGTCAGCCTCAGCAGATGGCCACTTACACTGAGCCTGGTTCTGCTGGAGGTTTCTTCCTGTTAAAAGGGAGTTTTACCTCCCCACTGTCACCACAAGCATGCTTGGTGTGAGGGATTGCCTTCTAGTCATAGAGTCAATGCAATCAACTGGTTTTCCTTAGATAGAAAACTTTGAATCATTTTGACTGGATGATCTGGTAAACTGTAAAGTGCCTTGAGATGACATGTGTTGTGAATTGGAGCTATAGAAATGAATTAAATTTTTATAACTAATAAACTAGGTCACTGTGTTCAAACCACTAGCTGCAAAGATTTTATCTGTTATATTTACATTGTTTTTTGTGAAACATGATTAAAAGACAAATAGCTTTTTTATTGTCATTTTGTTATTAAAAAACTTAAGAGGGAAAAAAAACTATTAAATAATCAGTTTATGTAGGAACAAATGGGAGAATCGATTTTTAGCCATGATTTCTAGGGAGAATATGTAAACTACATTATTGGTGGGAACTTTTATGATCTATTGGGGCCTTTATCGCAAATGATGGCAAATCTTAAAAAGGCTAATAAACAAAACATTTGAACTTTATTTTTGGTTGAACACATTTTTCTAAATGACTTTATATGTGTGAGAAGCAAGTTAAACCTTGAGCTATTTAGAGGAACCAAATAAACTAAACAGCCTAATTTTAGGGATCCAGAGGAAGCCAGGGCACCTAGAGGGAACCATGGGAGGTTACCTCTACACAAAATTAATAAGGGGGGCGAGTTTTTTGTTTTGTTTTTATGAGAGCACTGGGAAAAAAACAAACACACCAAAAATAAAGAGACAAACAGGGCAAGAGCATATCATTTAATATATTAATTGAGCCACAAAGTGAAGGTTGCAGACTTCTGATCTAACAGATGAAAACTGTGATCCTATCTTGGTACAACTGAAGTAATATCTAACTGCTATTTAAAAATAACGATGAAATCATGAAATATTAAAATTAGTCCAAGGGACAAATCACAAGTTACTGTATATTCTGTCAGCACATATCAACATAATGCATTTATTTAGTATTACACTAGAACAGTTGATCTAAAAAGCAACATTTTCTTAAAAATAGTCTGTCTGTTTAACTAACTAACTAACTAAATAAATAAATAAACAAACAAACAAATAAATAAATAGCTAACTTACTAACCAACCAACTAACTAACCAGTTATCATCTTCAGCCGGGTTAATCCACGGCTAACTGTTAAGGCACACGCCCTATGGTCTGACGTATACTACGTCTTTACGTAGAGACCCTCAGCCAATAGCAGAGTGTCATTTACAAAGCATACTTCAGGTGCAGTCTACAGTATGCGTTTCAAATAATGTTTGTCTGATAAATAATAAAAACTGTTTTTTAAGGGGTAACATAATTATTTGTTGATATGTAAAAGTGTTATATCTACATTTAAGTAAGTAAGAGTCAAGATACTGTCATAGAAAAGGTTAGTTTAAGTCACCGTGCTGGTATTGTCACAATTCTTTTTATTTTTTTACACCTTTTCGTCTAGTAAACAGCGGTTTTATGGAGTACATATGGATTACCTTACAGCAGAACTATTATACGGCATGTAGCCGACTCATAAACATATCAGGCGCTTTTACTGCTATCGATAAAGAATAAAATTAAACCGAAGCTGACTTTTTCGAGAAGTATTGAAGGCATCTTTTTTCTCTCGTGTTATTGTGTGATGTAGCTAACTGCTCAGCTTCATGTCTTTTTCTCAGAGCAGCAACTGGCTCAAAAACTAAAATAATAGTTTATTGTTCTAAATTACAGGAACTCGGTTAGAACCAAAGAGCACAAAATAATGAGAAGAGTTACCCTGTTTGTTAACGGGACGTCTAAAAATGGCAAGGTAGGTGAAAAGTCAGGCAGTTTGAGTAAATGTGGGAGGCTGGGCCGCAGAATGACTGGCTGTTTCCCCCTCAGAGCTAATCAAGCTGCATCATCATGAAAAACTATCTCTATTCTGCTACAGCTTTCAGATTTATAGGCTAATAGCGCTGAGGAGGCCGTTGAACCTTGCTCATTTCCATGTTTAATACCTAAACACAGTTCAGACTGGAAAAAACATCTAGAAATAAGTAAAAAAAAATCTTAAATTAAGTGTATTTACCCTTAATTTGAGTAGGTGAATGAGATAATTTGCCCTTGGAATCAGTATTTCTTCTCTTAAAATAATATTAGATAATATGCCCTTAAAATATGACAATGCAATTGAGTTTTCTTATTTTAAGTGTAAATTGTCTTGTTTTTTACCTCCTCAATCCAAGAACAAAAGCACTTATTTTATGAAAAATAATTTCTTTTTTTTTCTCCAGTGCATCTCAACTTTATTTTTTTTCTTCACAGGTTGTAGCAGTTTACGGGACCTTGTCTGACTTGCTGTCAGTAGCGAGCAATAAGCTGGGGATCAAAGCCTCCTGTTTGTACAATGGGAAGGGTGGCCTCATAGATGACATAGCCCTGATCCGGTAAACTCATTCATATCCTTAGATTAGAGTGCTGAATGTTTTTATACCCGAGTACAGTTGCCCCGCCCACCTTATTCAAATCAGACCAAATCTGTTTCAAACGTTTGTGCAGCAAAACTTTTCGTTTTCATTTTAAAGATATAAAGAAATGTTTCTAGAGGTCATCAAATGTCAACCCCCCCCCCCACCATCACCACCACCTTCTTCAAATCAGATGAAATGGGTGTCAATTAACTCAACTCCATTTGTGCAGGTTCACGCAGCAAAAATTTTCACTGCGCAAACGTAGCACAATCGTTTTCACACCAATTTTGTCTGATTTCATAAAAGGGGAAGGGGTTGACCTTTTGACCTTTACCTTTTCTTTAAAGCCGGGCGTACACTGCGATTTTTTTTTTTTTTTTTTGTCGTTGCACGCAGGTACTGCTCACGCTGTACGACTAATCGCAGGGTTCATTCGTACAGTGTGAGTTCACCGCTCACAATTTATGTTCGGCCCGACGCTCTCATGCGATCTACCTGCTCATGCTGTATGACTAAAAAATCACGTCGGACTCAGATGGAGCTGCTCTTACTCGTCTATCTAGAAGCCAAAGAAATAGAAGGGGAACATTGAGCATAGTAGATTGAAACGCGTTGCATCGGCAATTTGTGCAATTTTGTGCTGAAAGCCCTAAAAAGAAAAGGAGACCACATATTTGGGAAAAAAAAGACATGGCTGAGCAAACATGGCTGCTACGGTCTGTCAATTTTACAGACAGAACTGCATTTCACTCATTTCATCCCACCCATGCTGCTGCGTTTACATCTGAGAGGAAGAATAAAAAGAGGAATCCTTGTTTGCGCCCTGAGCGATTTGCCCACGACGGTCGGGAGAAAATAAAATACGTTTCATATTTTCCCGACCTCATTGATTCCTGATCGAGAGGTTGCGTGAGAGGCTGATCGCCCCTCGTAACCCCCTGTACACTACACGACTCACGATCAGGTTGAAAGTCCGCCCGATCGAAAGATTCTCGCATGACTGGAAAATCGCCCCAAAAATCTCACAGTGTATGCCGGGCTTTATATCTTCAAAGCCAAAGCAGCACAAAGGAAGTTGAGTTATTTGACACCCATTTCGTCTGATTTAAAGAAGCTGGGGGGGGGGGGGGGGGGGGGGGGGGGGGGGGGGCTGGTTGATCTTTGAGGACCTCTAGAAACATTTGTTTATATCTTTAAAATGATGGTGGCATAAACAGAAATTTTTACTGCACAAACGTAGCACCAATTTGATCTGATTTGAAGAAGCTGGGTGGGGCAACTTCACTCAGGTTGTTTACCTCTGTTTTTGTCTGTGTTTATCCTCAGAGATGATGACTTACTGTACGTGTCGGAAGGAGATCCGTTTATTGGTGAGCATTGTTTGCTGGAGGACACTCCTCTGCTGACAGGCAGATGGGGAACATCTGGTAAACATCTGTTTTCTCATCCACAGACCCACAGAATGAAGTCCACTTTCCATCTGATCAGCCTGGAGCCCACACTGACTGGCTCACACTGAACATCGGTGGCCGCCTCTTTACCACCACAAGGTGTTAAGCTGATCGTTCAATTAAATTTTTCACTTTAGGACACCCCTTTAAAAATGCCAGCTTTGTTATCCTTTGAAATCTAACTCCAGAAAGCTCAAGAATAACTTAAATAAACTAAAATAAACAGAGTTAGGTTATATATGAACGTCTCTGTCTGCAGGGGATCGGTCCGTATTCTGAAAGGGAAATAGTGAGAGGCAGATGCAAACCTATTAATTCAATTCAGTTTATTTCTATAACGTCAATTCACAACACATGTCATCTCAAGGCACTTTACAGTTCAGCAGATCATCCAGTCAGATTGATTTAAAGTTTTCTATCTAAGGAAAACCAGTTGATTGCATCGACTCATTGACTCGAAGGCAATCCCTCACACTAAGCATGATTGTAGCGACAGTGGAGAGGAAAAACTCCCTTTTAACAGGAAGAAACCTCCATTAGAACCAGGCTCAGTGTGAGCGGCCATCTGCAGAGGCCCACTGGGGTTCAAGGAGACAGAAGCAGAGATACAAAATGCAACTGGAAAAGGCGGCCCTGTCCAGGAAACACAGCTCCCATGCCAGAGGATGAAGAGAGCACATCCAGCAAATCACTGTCAGAGAAACAGGACTACACTGGAAAAAAAAAAAGACCTCGAACATCTATAAACAAAGGTGTTGATGGCAGCAGCCAATCAATAAAGGATGATCCCATATTTTAAGGAATGGATGGCAACTAGGGCTGGGTATTTTCGCCAAAGTCCTGAATCGATTCGATTTTGATTCATACAGTTCTAAATCAATTAATTTCGATTTGATCTGTTTTTACAACAACGAAAGTGGTTCAACTTTGTTTCAAAATACTCATGTTATTTTGTTTTTTCCCGTCACATTAAACACAAAGTGCAAACTTGTAAATCAGACAGTTTAAACCTGAGATGTGAACAAAACTGTCTCAAAAGTGCAAACTTGTTTGTGAAAAGTGAAAAAGTGACGCCTCACTCGAGCAAGCAGGTGTGACACAGCAGACATGCATGAGCTGCATTATCTCCACTGCACAAACCATATGTGCAGCGTTGTCTGTAACAACTACAGGATGTTTTCTGGTCAGCCCTCTTTGCAGTTTGTCTTGAGTCCTGTTGGGAAGTCAGCACATATATAGTGTACTCGGATGAGGCCGTTATGTAGAATTTTAGCTTAAATGCAAAAGCTATGGGGGTGGTACGAGGGGGTATTAGGGCCAGGCTAGAGATTTTTTTTATTTTGAGAATAAAGTCGTAACATTACTAGAATAAAGTCATCATACAACAACCTGTTTACGAAAGAAAGCGTCGAGCTCCGACCAGCTCCACCAATCAGCAAGCTGAGTTCACTTTGACCCACTGCCCAATTTGATTCGCTAAAAGATTTCTTTATTTGTCAAACCAGAGTATAACTTCACATAATGCTCGACATTTCTCATTTTATTTGAGAAAATGCTTCTTGTAAGAGTTGTCATAAAATACAACTTGTGTCTCGCAATTTTATAACTTTATTCTCTTAACATTACGACTTTATCCTCATAATAGGACTTTTTTCTCGTAATTTTATGACTATTCTCTTTGCAACTTGTTTCTCATAATTTTACAACTTTCTTTTCTCTTAAAATTACGACTTTATTCTTGTAAAGTTACGATTTTATTCTCATAATTGTATTACTTTATTTTCATAATACGACTTTTTTTTTTGCAATTTTATGACTATTCTCGTTGCAACTTTATTCTCGTAATTTTGCAATTTTATTCTCAAAATCGAAGTATTAGCCTGGCCCTAATACTCAGTCGTAGTGGTGGAACTATGATGCTGTGGGAGTTGTTTTGTTTTTTTCCTAAAGGTGAGCAGAGGGTAACCTCCTGCTAGCAGGAATAAAACCTTTCTGTTATCAAAAACTTAAAGCTTTAATTAGCTCTTTGTTAACCTTCTCTAATCTGTTGTTTAGGAGTACTTTGGTCAGCAAGGAGCCGGAGAGCATGCTCGCTCACATGTTCCGTGAGAAAGGTACCAGACATTGTTTGATTTTCAGCAACCTTTTTATTCAGGGGTCCCTTTTTAACGTGTTTCTGTGTGACTCCAGATGTTTGGGGGAACAAACAGGACAAACACGGGGCTTACCTGATCGACCGCAGCCCTGAGTACTTCGAGCCCATTCTCAACTACTTGAGACACGGTCAGCTCATCGTCAATGAAGGAATAAATATGCGAGGTAAGCTTCCAGAGGAGACTTTAGATCGTCTCCAACACTCAGTCGATCATGGATGGTTTGATAGTTCTGAATGATTTCCAGGGGTCCTGGAGGAGGCGCGCTTCTTTGGAATCGAGCAGCTGGCTGAACAGCTGGAAGCAGCAATCAAGGTATCATCAAATACCAATAAAATAATCCCCCCCCCTTTGCTTTCGTCATTTTCTCCTCTCACAAGTTTTCCTTTTTTATCATTAAAACAGAACTCCCAGCCCCCCGAGGACCACTCACCCATTTCCAGAAAAGAGTTTGTCCGTTTTCTTTTGGCGACTTCTACCAAGTCGGAGCTCCGCTGCCAGGTGAAGCTAACTCAAAAAAATAGTTTCCTCTTCTCCATAACAGCTACATGGAATAGATATTAACCTTGCTGCTTTTGCTGTCCTTAGGGTCTTAACTTCAGCGGTGCTGATTTGTCCCGACTTGATCTACGTTACATCAATTTCAAGATGGCTAACCTCAGCCGCTGCAATTTGACGCATGCTAATCTGTGCTGCTCCAATCTGGAGCGGGCTGACCTTTCCGGAGCCAACCTGGACGTAAGTGTGAAAATAAAAAGACATTTCTATAGAAACATTACCACCAAAGTACGGAAGAGCATTAGGGGCACTGGAAAAACAAAATGCTAACCGATTTTTATATGTGATATGAGTTTAATATGGAAAAAAAAATCAGAATTCTGACTTTAATCTCATAATTCTGTGTAAAATGTCAGAATTCTGACTTTTAAACTCAAATAACATAAAATAAAAAAATCTGTTAACTTCTTTATATTTATCCCCATTTTCCTTATTCCTCTTCTGTAGAGTAAGTCAGAATTCTGATTTTAATCTCAGGATTCTGACTTTAATCCCAGAATTTTTAGATTAATGTCAAGATTCTCAGCAAAAAAGTCAGAATTTTGATTTTAATCTCGGGATTCTGACTTTTATCTCAGAATTTTGAGATTAATGTCAAGATTCTCAGCAAAAAAGTCAGAATTCTGATTTTAATCTCAGGATTCTGACTTTAATCTCAGAATTTTGAGATTAGTGTCAAAATTCTAAGCAAAAAAGTCAGAATTTTGATTTTAATCTCGGGATTCTGACTTTAATCTCAGAATTTTGAGATTAATGTCAAGATTCTCTGCAAAAAAGTCAGAATTCTGATTTTAATCTCAGGATTCTGACTTTAATCCCAGAATTTTTAGATTAATGTCAAAATTCTAAGCAAAAAAGTCAGAATTCTAAGATTAAATCAGAATTTTGACTTTTTTTTTTGTCTCACATTAAACTCAAAAAAAAAAAAAAAGCAACTTTTTTTTCTTTCCAGTGGCCCCAATTCTCTTCCGTACCAAAGAGATGATGTTTTTTATTTTTATTTTGTTTTGTTCCTTTGAAGGGTGCTAATTTACAAGGAGTCAAGATGCTCTGCTGCAACGCTGAGGGAGCATCTCTAAAAGGATGCAACTTTGAGGATCCATCCGGACTGAAGGCCAACCTCGAAGGCAACTTCTTTTGCAGATATTAATTAAAAGAACAGATTTCATCCACATGCTACTCCTTCTAATCTCTTTGCTTCCGTGATCAGGTGCAAACCTGAAAGGAGTTGACATGGAAGGAAGCCAGATGACGGGCATCAACCTGCGTGTGGCCACTCTGAAAAACGCAAAGCTGAAGAACTGCAACCTGCGGGGGGCCACTTTAGCGGGGACAGATCTGGAGGTGAGAAAAAGCTATCAGAGGATGATTAGCATTACAGGAAGCCACAGAGGCTGTGTCACAGGGCAAGCAACCGTTCTTAAAGGTTAGAAATAAACACAGGTTTGAATAGAATGAATCTCAGTTTAGTATGGTGGAAAAAGTCAGAATTCTGATATGGGGCCAAAATGGTAGCTTTAATATTTGCAAATGTGTGTGGAGAGTTGTGTTTCTGTATCTCGATGTGTGTGTGTGCAGTGGGATTTGAAAATGTGTAAATAAATCTGTAAATGTGTGAGGAGATTTGTGTGTCTGTACAACAATCTGCAAATGTGTAAAACTACTTGTGTGTAATCCGTTTTGCAAATGTGTAAAAAATCCACAAATCTGTATTCAGATCTGCAAATGTGTACTGAGACTTGCAAATGTGTAGATCAATCTGTAAGCACACACAGAGACACTTGTGTCTGAAGTATTTTCGCTTCAAGACCCAGAAATACAGACAAATCATTGGTTACAAGTCAAGCGGTTTTTCGGTTGGCTCTCTTTACACACGTGATTTTTGCTACTCTTCTGCCGCGTTAGATGCACAAATGTGTAGAAGGATTTGTATGTGTATTTTCGCGATTTGTAACCCCTTGCGCAGGGTCGCAGGCTCACATGCTGCCCTGACCGCAGGCTCACAGGCTCAAAGACAGCCTCTACCTTTTTTTTTCCTCCGCTGCAGGAGTTGACGTGACAAGGATGATATATTGATACCATTCAGTAAGGAAAAAATTTAATCTATTATTAAACAAAAGGTTACGGAAAGATGGCAGAAGCTGTGGGAAGAGCATAGAACTGGAAGTTGGCTTTATAGTATTCAAAGGAAAATTGGTGCAATGAGGAGAACGGAAAGGAATAAAAAAGAGGTTATATCTAGATTAAGTTTCGGAAACACGGGGTTAAATGGAAACTTATTTAGAATGGGAACAGGAGGTTGTGGTTTTTGTTATCAAGGGGAGACGGTGGAGCATGTTTTGTTGTTTTGTTATAAATATTCTATGGAGAGAAGGGTTACAGGAAAATAAATTACAGTTAAATATACAAGATATTTTGGGGGGGGGAATCTACTTATGATTATTCTTGTAATTTGATAAACAATCCTGAAAAAAACGAAATTGGTAGAAAGGATATAAGTTTATTTATGTAAATATTGTTAATATTTATTTTTATTTTTCAGTGGGAAAATACATAGCATCCCGATCCACACTCCACTGAAGTAGATGGTGGTAATGCACATCATAAAGTTGCTTGCCAACCGCCATAAAGCAGAAGAAGAAGAAACAGTTTTACTAATGCAAACTATAGGAAAAATTTAAGAAATATACTTACAGAAAGCTGACGGGATTCCATTGCTCTCAACTTAGCAGGTACAACCCCTAGGACCCCAGTAACGTCACGTACTGTACAATACCGCCAACTGGTGGTATGTGGCTGTATGTGAAGCAAGTTGTGCTGAACTGCCGCAGCAGAGAGAGGCTGTCTGTGAGCCTGCGGTCAGGGCAGCATGTGAGCCTGCGAGCCTGCGCAAGGGGTTACAAATCGCGAAAATACACATACAAATCCTTCTACGCATTTGTGCATCTCACGCGGCAGAAGAGTAGCAAAAATCACGTGTGTAAAGAGAGCCAACCGAAAAACCGCTTGACTTGTAACCAATGATTTGTCTGTATTTCTGGGTCTGGAAGCGAAAATACTTCAGACACAAGTGTCTCTGTGTGTGCTTACAGATTGATCTACACATTTGCAAGTCTCAGTACACATTTGCAGATCTGAATACATGTTTGTGGATTTTTTACACATTTGCAAATCTCAGTACACATTTGCAGATCTGAATACAGATTTGTGGATTTTTTACACATTTGCAAAACGGATTACACACAAGTAGTTTTACACATTTGCAGATTGTTGTACAGACACACAAATCTCCTCACACATTTACAGATTTATTTACACATTTTCAAATCCCACTGCACACACACAAATCGAGATACAGAAACACAACTCTCCACACACATTTGCAAATATTAAAGCTACCATTTTGGCCCCATATTCTGACTTTAATCTCAAAATTCTGACTTTAATCTAAAAATTCTGACTTTTTTTACTGTCAGAATCCAGTCAGATTTCTGACTTTAATCTCAAAATTCTGACTTTAATCTCCGAATTCTGACTTTAATCTCCGAATTCTGACTTTAATCTCAGAATTCTGACTTTAATCTCCGAATTCTGACTTTAATCTCCGAATTCTGACTTTAATCTCAGAATTCTGACTTTAATCTAAAAATTCTGACTTTTTTTGCTGTCAGAATCCAGTCAGATTTCTGACTTTAATCTCAAAATTCTGACTTTTTTCTCAGAAATCTGACTTTTTTTACTGTCAGAATCCAGTCAGATTTCTGAGAATAAAGTCAGAATTCTGACTTTTTCCCATACTAAGCTGAAATAAAATTTAAAAAGCAGTAAAATTATTTTTTTTCAGGTGGCCCTAATCATCTTCCGTAATTTGTGAGAGTCCACTTGTGCATGTAAAGTTTATCCAAAGAAAACAATGCTTAATAGTGGTTGTGAAGAGCCAAAGACCCGCCCCCCCAGAGCACCAAGGCAAGCGCTGGGGAACCCAAAACCCCAGATGTCCAAATTTATTAAAAAAATTATTAATAAAAAAATTTTAATGATTAGCTGTGTCAAAAGCTTTAGACCAATCTAAACGAAAAATAGATCCCGCAGCTTTATCATCACTACTTAATCGGTGGAAAACACCAACAGAAAAACCAACAGTTCTTCTACAGTCATAATTCATATTATGTCATATTATGAGCTTAGAGAAATCCCCCAGAAGACTCAGTAAAAAAAGCATCACATTGATAGCATCACATGTGGAGAGACCCCAACCTGGACCTAAAACACATCACCTTGGATGTTTTTATAAGTTAACATTCATTTAACCAGTTTTTGTTTTGGGCTAATGCTTTAATATTAAAGCAACGTGTATAGAAAAGTTGATCTAAAATTAATAATCTTTGTATGAAGAGTGGAATTCAGAAAGCCAGCTTGTTGCTGCTCCTCCCTCAGCTAGAAAAAGAAGCCAATGATTTTAACTTGAAAGGTTTTTCCAGTAGCATGGATTGAACTTATCATGTTTTGCTGTGGAATCCGTTATATTCCTGCTCTGAAAATATGTTTACTTTATTTTAATAGTAGTCTATTTTTTTTAAACTCTCAGTTGAAAGAAATAAGCGACAAAAAAGGTCCGTTTTATTAAAGATGAACTGATAAATCAGCCTGCCGGTATCCGAATATATTGGCTTTATTTTGTTCTTGTATCATGCATGTGATTAAAGATTTTACCTTGCTAAAAAGTCTTTGATCTTATTTTAAGATTAATAAACTTAGCAAAAGCAGATTCTGTTAATTAAACTCCATTTCTACTCTAAATAAGTGGAGTAATCTGCCAGTATTGGCAGATTATCGGCATTGGAGTGGGCTCATCTGTTAACTAGCTAAAGATTTTACACATGTTGATTTGTAATATATTTTAGATTCCCTCTTCATTGATTTTTTTTTTAATGTCTCTCCTCTGCTTGTGTTTTGCTCTCTTCATGCAGAACTGCGACCTGTCCGGCTGCGATTTACAAGAAGCCAACCTGAGGGGCTCCAACGTGAAGGGCGCCATTTTCGAAGAGATGCTGACCCCGCTGCACATGTCTCAGAGTGTCAGATAACTCGGCTCTCCTCTCTCATGATCTTCAGCGTGTCACTCAGAGCGTTCCTCCTCACCGTATCCACGGTTACCGTTCCCCTCCTTAAAGGCGACGGCGCGTGCGGCCCCTGGCATTCCGACAATATTATTTCAGCTTTAATTATCTTGCACTAGAACATTACCAGGGTCGACAGTGTATGTTTTTATACACATCCAGCTGCATTTATCACCAAAACTAAAGTAATCTTCCTCATCCGTGTGGCGTCTGGATGTAGTCCAGGGATTCTGCTTGTTAAATGTGTCATGTAATTTTGTATTTATTTTATTTTACTTGACATGTTGATAGTTCAAATCAGATGACATGTGACGGGGTTACTCTACTATACTCTGTCCGTATATAAAGGATTTCTGCTTAAGGGTGGAACTGAGCATTTCTGGATTTAACAAGCAATGCAAGCCAAAGCCATACAGCACCGCAGCACAGGCTGAAAGGCTACAGCTGCTTAAAGTGCTCCACAAAACTATGCTACAGCTTGATTATGCAATGTCCGATGTAGAGCTGTAAGGTTTCCTTGTTGCTTCTGTTTGTTTAGTGCTCTGTGAATCTACCTCCTCTATGGTTTAAGCGATCCACCGTCTTATGCATGTTAATGTTGCATGGCTTGTTGAGTGGTTAACGTGTGTTTGGAACCGTGCTCCACGTGCTCCCATCATCTGATCAGGCTTCGAACCTGTTTGCACACGTCCATTTTAATGTTACCCGGCATATCTTTTCACCGAAATGTGTTGGTGCTTTTTCTTATGTACAGTGATGTTAATGTAAAACAAATCCAGTGCTTCCAAAGCTTTGAGTGTCGCTCGATGTCGTACTCCATTTCAAAATCTCTTCCCCCTTTGTTTCCAGGTAGGTATGGAGGGAATATTGTTCCATCATTGTAGCATAAGCAAAAAACATGTTTTGTAATTTCAAATTTGGGGTTCAATCCAGAAATCAAACTTTGAAAAACTTTTTGTTTGCAAATTTTTCTATTTTTTTTTTTTTAAATGTGTTTGCAGATTGAATTTTACGAATTACATTCTTTTCAAATCGAGTTTCACAAATCACATCCTTACATAATTTACATTTCATTTTTGTTGACTTTTTATTTTATTTTTTTTTTACAAATTTTCTATTTTCAAATTTTCTTTTTGAAATTTCTGTTTTTCAGATTGAGTTTTAAGAACTGCATCTTTGCATTCTCGTCACATTTTCTCCACATTAAACCCAATACAAATGCTCACTCCTGACACGCACATTGACCAATAAAGATGTTAACATCCACACCGACCAATAGAAATGAGTCTTCACTCCTCACTCCAGAGCAAAGACCGCCACTATAGCAGAGAATGTGATCGGTAAAGCTCAATTTAAGAAAAAAAAATGAAATTCATAAAACTCAATCTGAAAATGAGACATTTTAAAAAATAAAATCAGAAAATATTAAAAATATTTGAAAAATAATATGTGGGGGAAAAAATCTGAGAAAAGAACAAAATTGCTCTAAAACCTTAAAAGTTTAATTTCAGGATTGCATTTTTTCCAAATTTCCTTTAACAAAATTATCTTTGTTTTTTTTCTTTTTTTCCATTTACAGCACTTGTTCTTTGCTTACAGCAATAATGGAGCAAATTTCCCTCCATAGGATGTTGGATCCGTTAGCGTATGAAGACCTTTGTTGCTGCAGCTCAGAGCTGCTCCGATGCAAAACTACAGCATTCATTCAGTCGGATCGTAGGCACCCAGCCTCTCAGACTGAATAATGAAGGCAATCATGTTGTGTTTTTATACTTGAGAGGCCAGGTCAAAGGAGAGCTATGGTTTATTTATTTTACCAAATTTCACTGAATGCAATATGGGTGACATCTGTCTTGTGGGATAAAGGCATCTCCTATTATTGCACTCAACCATGGAAGTATTTCCATGAGACTGTTATAAATAAACGGCTATTAACTTGGGAAATGTTGCATTTCTGTGACTGGGTCTTGTTGTTTTTAGTCATTACAGCGCATCTATAATAAATCATGAAAATTATTTTTATTGGGACTTATTTGGGGTGACAAGATGGTTTTCACTATCATTGTGATGTGATTCCTGAGATATATGAACCCCAAAATATATAATGAAGTAAATAAAAATACCATAACGTAAGTAGACATAGAATATATGTATCTAATACATCATTCAAATATTAAATCCACCTGTTAACTATAAAAGGCATAATTACATGTCCTGTTATGTAATCATAAATACAATTAAAATGATCAATTAGATAAAATAAATATCAGTAAAGTAAAACTATTTCACTCCATATGTATAAATAAATATAGTAATATTTATTTTAGCGGGTTCTGTTCCATTAATTTTTAGATTAACAGGCTGAAATGTGTTAAAACCATCAGATAGTTTTGCGTTATTTTGAAATAAAAATCAATTTAAACTCATCATCCTTTATTTTCGTACCTCTATATATCATCCAGTCCAACCCAGTCCCTATGGAATTAAGATACTTAGGGAATACAATTTAAGAATGTGAACATGAATATTGATGCTTTTTAAAAATAAAATAATATTTTAGAGTTCTGCATCACAATAAAATATTGAAACTGTTTACATTAGTCAGCTTACAGTTGCCATCATGAGTGAGTTTTGGACTTTATTAGATCAACACACAACAGAGCAAAGCTGAGAAGTGGCATAAAATCCTGAATAATTCTCTATAATGTACAATTTAAAAACATTACCTCATTAGTGATAATTTCTAGTTATTCCCATTTATTCCCCATAAATAAAATTCAGTGCAAAAAACTGCCTTGGAAAGTCACCTGTTTGGTGAACATTAATGAAAAAACAGCAGTTAAATTCACAAACAATAACTGAAGCTTTGAAGATCTCTCAGAGAAGGTTACCATCTGAAAATGTAAGAGGGGAGTGACCCAGTTGTAAACCTTTTATTTTATTTTCCAAATTTCTCTTTTTCAGATTTAGTTTAACAAATTACATTCTTCACTGATCACATACATGTTCTTCTCCCCACCTGTCCTGTGATATTATGAATTATCAAAGGTGTCAAGTAACAAAGTACAAATACTTCTTTACTGTATTTAAAGACACTATTTAGGTATCTATACTTTACTCCATTACTTGTTCTTCCTACTTCTGACTTCTACTCATTACATTTTCACACCAGTATCTGCACTTTCTATTCCTTACATTTTAAAACATTACTCGTTACTCTTGGCTTCGGTTTTATGTTCAGAAATACGATAATGATAGTGATAATTATCGTGAAAACGTGAACTCATCATGTTTGGATTGGACTCACTTGATGAGATGACTGGAGTCTGGTGTGCTATGGCTTGTTTGGAAAGAAAACCTGCAGCCACACGGCCCTTTCTGGAACCACTTTGACCCCCCAGATCTAATGGCTGAGCGGTCCACTGGCCCTACCCATTACGTGGTTTGGGATGGCCCTTAATGTGGCGGACTCTCTGCCTAAACCGAGGGTTAGTGTTATGCTTTGTTCACACCAAAAGCAGCAGAGGCAGCAGAAGCAGCTAGTTTACATGCAAAGTCAATGGTTGACGCGCATCAAGGTGCAGCAAAAGTTCCTGCGGCGCGTTTTGAACAGCCGGAGTAGCGCTTCAGAAGCAGCAGCTGCTGGAGTTGGAAAAATTGAACTTTTGCCGCTCGACGCTCCACATCAACCAATCAGAGAAGCTGATCTGTGAGCTGGTGAGGCAGTGCTGCTCATGCAGAGCGCTGTGATCACTCCTCTGAAACAGTTTATTAAAGTACCTGCCGGTAAAATATGTTCGATTTTATTATTCTGGTGCCTAAAGTTTGGATTATGTACGTGAAAAACGCCTTCCAGCCACTGTGAATGGTAGCGGAAAACCACAAAGAGGCGACCGGGCCATAGGCCGCTGTTGAAGGGGTTTCCCAGTGACAGAGCACCGCCGGTTTACGGGGGTCTGAGCGTCTCCGACAGAAACAATATTTGAAGGCAGGATGGTAATCTGGATGAACTGACTGCACAGATGAAGTTTTCAGGAGGACTTTCTCACTAAAAAACATATTAAAACTACTTTTTACCCACTGATGACAGCAAAAATAACTACCATTGTTACAGGCAAAGAAAGGATGGGGTAGCTGCACCCAACACCCATCAGACCCACTTTTCTGCTGTTGCTGCTTGCGGTCTGAACTTAGCATTTAGGGAACCGCTGGGGATTCAGCTAAAGAGCCCCAGCTGCAAAGAATCTGCAGAGGCACTGAGACGTGATTTGACTCTTCCACTTATTGTAGAGCTGTGGGAAGGTTTCAGTTTTTCCCATTTTGTTAACTTTTTGTAACTAAAATTGGAGAATTTAATTACTTAAGTTCTCTCTCATAGGATGCTGATTTTGTATTGTACAGGGTTTTTTTTGTTGTTGTAATTTTGTTGAGGTAAATGTATGTAATGTTCCCTGTTGTGTCAAAAATTCCCTGATCTACCAGTATATGTGTTCCTCAGTTTGTTAGGTCAGTTAATACTTCAGTTACTTTTGTTAAGTTTCGTTCTGTTGACCTCATTTTCTTTTTGGGCCCAGGTTTATGTTTAGAGTGCCAGTTTTTGTTGTAAATAAATTTGTCACCATTTTTTTCCAAGCTGCCCTGTGATTCTCTTATTTTTAATTTTTCCTTGGTCCCTCGCATATAGCCTATGTCTTTGTTTTTTAAATATTCAAATATCTTTCAAGTTGCTTTTTACATATCATTAAAAACAAAATAAATGAACGAAAAAAGCTTTAGAATTAAAGATGGAATTTTCTGTATTAGATTATTAACATTTTATCTTAATTGCTCACATTTTCATAATTCCCCCCCCCCCCCCCCCATTTTTAAATACTGCCAATGACACCGCTCCAGATGAGAATATAAACTTTGAAACAAAATTTGAAAAGAATGCAGTTCATAATCTACAAAGGGAAATTTGAATTGAAAAACAAAGTGTAGAAGACTGCGTACGTTTAATATGCCATAATTTCAGATTTCTCATCAATTGAATCTTCCTTGGTCAGAAGGAATATATCAACTCCATCGGTGAAAAGGTTTATTGGTGGAATAGAAGCAGGTACATTGGAGTGGATGTTACAGATGATGATGAGGTTTTATTTTTAGTTTCTTAGGTATATACAATAAAGGTGCATATTTACAGCCATGCAGGCAAAACAGCTACACATGGTTGCAGGATGAAAATGGCCTGGAGTATCATAGAAATCCACTGGAGGGCGGCATAACAATACACATGGATTATTGGTCAAATGCAGTAAACATACAACTGACAAAAACATAGGAAAATATGAAATGAATGGTAATTCCATCATATACTAATAAAATGATAATATATCTGGCAAAGTATAACAATGAGCTTGAATTATTATAAGTAAACTCTTGCATTGCCAGAAACCAGAGAAACACAAGGACAATTTCGCCTCCTGGGATAATAACTGACATGAAACACAATTATCGGACTTAAAATGTATATTCACATCGTTAAAAAAATGCGCACAGGTTTCATACACTCTGAATAAAGGAAGGATTAATGGTGGATGCTATTTTTACGCCACGAACCACACAGAAAAAACAATTTGCTGAGCTAAGTGAAATTGCAACTAAAAAATGAACAGATGCATCATGGGTAATGTGGTCCTAAACAAACAGATGGACTTTTAACAAATAAAATATTTAAAAAAAGGAAAAACATGATATTATATTTAAAAAATATATATTAAAACCTTTTCTTTTTCAAAGTTTAATTTCCGGATTGCATTTATTATTTTGATGTCCATTCTTTGCAACAATATTGGGACAAATGTCACTCCATAACCTACGCACCCACACTTTTTAATTGTTGTAGACAGTTTCATTCAATTCAAAGGTCAACCAAAGACACAAAAAACAAACACAGTATTTGTAAAGAAAAAGGACTAAAGGTGAAATCTGGCACTCAACCAACCAGTGAATCAGCAAAGAGCTTCCTGTTTGTCACTCTTTGCAACTTGCTATTTTTAATGAACTGCACACATAAGTCAAACACGTAGTGTAATCTTTTAAATAGCTCTGTGGGTTGCCACTTTGTTCCCTCTTTGCAGCCTCCCCCCTGCAGTGAAGTGATGGAGGAAACAAAGCAGTAGAGCCTTATATAAATCCTCAGTGTTTGCATGACTCCCAAAGCTCAACAGGGCAGGTTGGAGGAGCTCCTGTGAACAACAGGTATGACAAATTAAAGAAACGTCAAATGAAGTGTTTGTGTCGAGTAAAAACTTTTGTTTGTCCATCAGAATGGCTGCTAAAACGCTGACGCTCCGGCTTCTCCTGCTGGGGACGGTTCTGTCGCTGGCCAGCTGTCAGCACTGGTCGTTTGGTCTGAGCCCAGGAGGAAAGAGGGAATCGGATGGCTTTCCAGACATGCTGGACAGCGTAAGCAGCTGAGCATTTCTTTATAATCGCTCTGGCAGACGTTCTCCATGTATCATTTCTCCTGTAGCAGATATTTGAAGGTTTGGCGAATGCAGAGGCACCCTGCAGTGTTCTGGGCTGTGCAGAGGAGTCACCGTTTGCCAAATTCTACAGAATGAGGGGCCTTCTTGTAAGATCTGCATGAATTATCCCTGTTAGTGATGGTGAAATGTGGAAAAAGTTAGATAATGGTGATAAACATCATCAAAATCCTCATATTTTTTTTTCTCTTCTTTCAGGCGAGGGTACCTGAGGGGGAACGCAGACATCAGGCATTCAAACAGTGATGTCTTATGCAATGATATGTTATAGATGTAGGAGTTGCTGCATATTTGCCTTTTTTCCCCAAAAATTCTGAATAAAAACTATAGAATCTTTTGCTTCAATCTGTTTTTCTTATTTTCTTTTGCAAAACGAGGAAGAAATATTGCATCATAAATCAAAACACCTCCTACTTTGCCTTTTAGGATTGCTTAAACTCTTTGAAGCATTTAAGTAATGAAAGAGTTGCAACATTCTTGAACGGGATCAGCTTTTTTTGGAATGGCTTCTCGCCTTGTGATATTTGTCTCTGTTCCCACTGTACATTTTGAAATGGATTGGGATCCAGACTGTTTCCTGGCTTCGTCAGTTTGCTCATCTGTTTTGTTTTTATCTGGAGCAGTTTCATCATCCAGAAGGTGTGATACTTTATGCTTAACAGATGTAAGCTTTGATATGAAAAATAACTTTAGAACACAATCTGAGAAAAATGTTTTTTCCCCTTCCAGCATTTATGAGTTAAAGGAACTGACATCATGGACCTAAAAAACATTTCCACGATGTAGCCTCTAATTAAGCTAGGTCCTCACAAATTAACGCACAATTGTTATTAAAAGTGGAAGCCATTATGTAGTCTTTTAAAACTACAACATTTGATGTGTGCGGTTGCAGAAGTATAATCTGCCGTTTAGGCTACGTTCACACTGCAGCCTGAAGTGACCCAAATCCGATTTGTATGCTCATATGCGACCTGTATCTCATCTTTTCATGGCAGTCTGAACAACACAGATCCAATTTTTTTCCAATGTGACCCAGGCCACTTGGCTCTGTGGTCCTGAATCCAACAAAAGTCTGGTCGTTTCAAATGCAACCTGTGTCTGAATGGCCAGGTCGCATCTATCCGACCTGTACGCCTTTAATACCAGACATAGGTCGCTATTCTGCATCTTGCTACACAGAAGTGGAAAGAAAAATAACAATGGCAGACGATAATGTGGAAGGCATCTTGAACAGTTTTTAAGGTTGGGAAAGATTGCTAGATGCTCCTCAGCACTACCATCCATGTTTACTTCCGTAAACACAAAGCACACTTGCTTGTGACATCATTGCTTCCTCTACTTGCTTTGTATGAATGTAGTTCACACAGGAGATTACATACAAGTCGCATATATTTGGAAATGTGAACTGCAACGCAAAAGAAATCTGATTTCACAAAAGAATCGTAATTAAGCATTAAGGCTGCAGTGTGAACGTAGCCTTGGATGGGTATGAGGTACTGCACTCTAACAAAGAAGCCAAACGACCTCCATTCCAAAGGGGTGGACCCCTTCGTCTGTTCCAATTTGCATGTTTTCAAAACAAAAACAAGCCTTTGTTGGAAAACTGTATAAAATCTCGAACTCAACGCTATTTCTGACATTTTGAATTGAAAAAGCTTCCTGGGTGGGAAGCGAAACGTCTAAATACCTGGAAACCAAGTCCAGTGGATTGTTTTTAATTTTCTGTTTTTTAGAACTCCAGATTATTCAGATCAGACAGAAAGCATCTACACCACAAATTATAAACTGTGTGTGGCCTTTGACTAGGACATTCTATAACCACTGTGTTGTAGCTCTGGCTGTATATTTAAATGAATCTTTGATTCCTGTCATGTATCTTTTACCACCTTGTTCCCTTCAATACTAAATGAGATAATCGTCCTGCTGTTTCTTCTTCATGGCTGTGACATTTCATGCTTGAGGCCCTCCCATGAAGGCCAGAACTGCAGACTTTATAATTATTTGATCTCTAACCAACACATCCTCCCTAAGCTGTGGCTTATTGGCTGCTTCTTTTATTAATGCTCTCCTTTTCAAAGCCTCTCGGTTTAAGTCGATGGCAAAATGGGATTCAGGTGATGCATAGAACAGAGCTCTGTGAGACGTTTAAAGCTTGGGTTAATATTTATGGCCTGTTATTGCTTTAAAGAACCCCACCTTATTATCCCAGACCTGTCAGCTTTGTTCTTTGGTCTACATGAGCCTTTATCCCTCTGGTCTTCTCTAATAAACCTCCCAGCCTTCAGAAGGCAGCTGTATTTTGTTTACACTGGAACAAAGTTGCACACAATTATGTTTGGTGATTAGAAAAATAATGAACGCAGCTGACAGCAGCGGCAAAGATAGAGGCGGGTCCAGGGGTGATCATGGCCACCTTTAACCAATCATTGCCCACCCCCCACCACTAGGTGATTTGTTGCTCCCATATTGTGATTACCGCCCCTACAACAAGCAGTTCCCCTCCAAATCAGAGGGGGGCAGCAGTGATACACTCAAATGGAACTTCCTAACTAATCTGACATTTTAACTCTTAGTATATTAGTCATAAAGTGACAATAATGATACAGTACCTAATTATCCACATGCATATCCCAACATTAAATATGACTAATACAGAATACATGCTCTGTTTAGAATAGTTTTTTTGGTTTTATACTATGGGCCGCTTGTAAAGTTAATCAGTGAAAAAATAAGGAGCAATATTTATGGTTATTTATGTGTTTCAAGAAAAAGTGGATTTTTTTTTCCCCCCGCAAGTCATTTTTTCACTATCTTACTTTATCAAATAGATATTATCTCCAAACTAGATATTTAGTTTGGATCTAAATATTGATTTAAAAAACTAAATATGTTAAGTTAAAAAAACAAGAAACTTAAAAAAAAAAAAAAAAAAAAAAAAAAAAAAAACTCCAGTGGATTGTTTTTTAACTTTTTTGAGCTGGCAGTAATGCTTCCTGTTCCCCCACCAGAGGGCGCTAGATATAACTAGAAAATTCCTATTCTAGAGTCTTTAGAACTTGTTTTTTTTCTTTTTTCCTCTTTTTGGTATTTTTGTGACTTCTGTTGCAGATTGTATTAAACGATAAAGATCAAATGAACTCAAAGTCAGTTAATAAGCCTTTTGCCCGGTTTTTAAAATTCATATATTATCCCCCTGCAGAATATCAATCAGTTTTATTAGTAGTGGATAAACAACATGATAATTATTCGAGGCAGGCGACATGTGTGTTTGCCAATAGGGTTTGAAATTTAAACAAACTGAATGAGAGATCGAAGTTTATTCATAATAGTGAATTCACCAGGCAGTACCAGCCCTTTAATATCCTGCTGACAAGCCAATGGGCAAAGCACAGCCTTATCTTCAATGCAAAGTGTATTTTTTTTCAACTTAGTTCAATCCATCTCTCACTCAGGCGTCACCGAGCAAACATATAATGCAGAAATCCGTTTCCATTGGTTTCATATTGCAGATAGGACTGCACCCACTCTTGATGAACACACACCCAACGCCACATGAGTGTCGTAGCTATGCTTTATTAGAAATGATCTGACAAGCATTCCATATAGGAAAAGCAAGAGCACAGCAGGATGTAAATTATTCATATATGATCAATACCATCATGAACAATGAGTCTGTGCCAATCCACTCTTCTGTTTTTAATCAGAGGCAATCATCGCCTGCAGTTAATCTGAAATATTAAATCGCTTAGAGGAAAGTAATGTGCAACAATCAGAGCTGAAGACACACACATACACACACATGGGCTCCCACAGCTACGGAGTCCAATAATTACTTCTAATTTGTCTCACTCAGACCAGTCAGACGCATTTAACTAATTAGAGACAACACCGACCAGAGTTGCAGTAAATAGACAAGCTTTTATCTTTAACAGGTAGAGTTAAAGACATAAAAGTGGCCTCACAGTGGGAACAGTTTGATTAGATGTACTTAGTAGAATCTTGCCAATTTTCAAAATTTAATTACTGTTAATTACCTACCTTATGTTAAAAAACAGACTAATTATAACAATTAGACTTTAATAAGTTATAAAAAAAAAACTGCTGAAATGTTAGTTTACTTTTTCATCTATTCTAACAAACCATCCATCCCTGCTGGGGTCAGGACATGTCATCTCCAGCTGTCAATGGGCAAGAGGCAGGTCCACCCTGGACAGGTCGCCAGTCCATCGCAGGACAACACAGAGACAAACGGGACAAACAACCATTCACACACACACTCACACCCAAGGAGAATTTAGAGAAACCAATTAACCTAACAGTGATGTTTTTGGACTGTGGGAGGAAGCCTGAATTCTGTCAGATGGGCATACCCCGTCAGACCAGCATACCCATAGTCAATACACATGCAAAAGATAAATGCAGATTTGTATGTATCCCTTTAGTTTTGTAGGAAAATTAGACTTTAAACTACTTTGACGTATGTGTATCCCTTTAGTCATGTACCAAAAAAAAAAAAAAAAATATTAAGTGTCAGATCACCATACGCTTCAAAAAACACAGAAAAGTAAGTCATTAAATAGTTTTTTTGAACCTGACTAAAGAGATATGTGCCCGTTGAGGTAGTTTAAAGTGTATTTTTGTACAAAACTAAAGCATAAACTAAAGGGATAAACGGGTATTGACTACTGTTGCAAAGATACCGGTACCATTATCGGCCGGGGCCCCGATCCAGCACTAAAATGGGGGTATCAGTATCGTGCCCTATTTGTTGGTACTCGCCGATACGGTATTGGCGAGTACCATCTTAAGAGCCAAAAGTTTCTTCAATTGTCCCCCATTCCAGGTAGGCAATAAAAAGTTCTACTGGATTCACTTTGTATTAGTCTTTTTCCTGCTTCACAAAGGTAGGCAGCAGCTGGACAAAGCCATGATGGCAATTATTTTACATCCAAGTAGTCTGCAGTTCTTCATATATATGAAATGAAATGAGATTTATTTTGAACATGATACAAATATAAAAAAATAAAATAAAATAGTGCACAGTAACAAGAAGTGCATAAAAAAGAAGAGAAAAATACAGATATTTGTTTCCATTAACATATCATGCTCAAAAATATACACACACACATCAATACAGATTATATCGGTATGGTATAGGCCAATACTGCACAGCCAGGAATCGGGTATCGTATTGGGGCCAAAAAAAAAGGCATTGGCGCAACACTAGTATTGACTATGGGTTTGCTGGTCTGACCGGGTATGCTCATCTGACAACACAGGAGTACCTGGAGAGGACCCACGCATGCACAGGGAGAACATACAAACTATATGCAGAAAGACCCGGGGCTCGAACCCAGAACCTTTTTGCTGTGCTACCCACTGCGTCACTGTAAAGCCAAATTTCTATTCTAACAAGCTGGACATAAACTTTTCTCTTGACATGTAGAGCTGTGCTGAGCATCATTAGCAGCCTGAGGGTTAAAAAGCTCCTATAGCTGGAAAGTTGGACTTCAGCAAAATTGCTGGATGGAAACTTTAACTCTTGCTCAGAAAAACTAAAGGTTTGTTAACTTCATTTAATAAAAATGTAAAGTTTATATAAACTCCCAATACAACCAGAGTAAGCATATTATTCTAACCATGATCTGACTGAATGAACCAGATAAAAGTGGGATTTGTTGACGAAATAAATTTTACTGTTATCGGAAATTTAAAAACGAATGTGCTCCATAAAGACCTGAACTTTTTATTTGCTAATAAAATTCTTTTTTATGTTATTTTTAGTAAGAAGCTTCATAGCAATTTGGCTTCAGCGTTAGCTTTGTCGCTAAACTAGCTAAAGCTGGATGGAAAGATTAAATCTTTGCTCTAACAACAGAACTCTACGAGGTGTGGGACAGTTTTTAATTTATGTTTAAACATTATATTTACAATCAATTTGCTTGATGGAAATTCAAAGAATATAAGCAAATAAAGCCTCCATATCAATTTTCTGGAGTAGTTTCCTGGCTAATGTCATGTCACTAAGCTAGCGAAGGGGACCTTGCTTTATTTTTTTGCTTTCTTTTTTCTTTATCTTTTTTGCTTTATCTTTTTTATTTATCTTTTTTTCTTTAATTTTACAGGAGTAATAACAGTTGTTCTCTTTAATAATAATTTCAATATTGGGGTCCACCATTTTATGTGAGGAAAATTTTAAGACTTACTAAGCAAACCTTAATCAATAAATCAATTTTTTTTTTAAATCAAAACTAAGATGAAATATTCATATTAATAAATCAGAAGAACACAGCAGAGAAGGTATTGACCCAGGCCTGGTTGTTGCCCTGATATGACATTGAAAGTCATAAAACAATAAAATCAACCAACTGAATTGACCCGTTTCTCATAGATCTCCAGAAAGGGGAAGCACCTGATATGAGGAGGGATAACTGAGAAAGATAGGCTGCAAGCAAATAATGACTTAACTAATTTGTTTAATTGACTCGTAAATTAGCCAAGGAAAACGAAGAACCCTAAATTTGACTATTTCCCATGATAGAAAACATCAAAACAACGTTTCTGCATGGATTCATTAGACATTGCATTACAATAGAAAAGGCAAAAAAAAAAAAAAGATTAGAAAAGCAGGCAAAAAAAGGAGAATTTAAATGCTCAAAACAACAGCTTGAGCATATCTCTAGCCAACTAGTTCATGTTGTTCCTGTGATCTGCTGCGATTGCTTATATGAGAATCTCTCTCTAAATTAAAATGCAAGGGAGCCAAGATGCTAATCTTTCTGGAACTGCTCCACCGACGAGGAGAGTCTGGCCCGGTGGACTCATTAAGGGTTTATCTCCAGCTGAGCTTCATTTCATAGCTCACTAATATGCCTGGAGCCTGGCTACAATGGTTAAAAACACAGAATGGCATAACTCAGGTTCCAGTCATTGCCAAGTGCCACTGAAGCATGGCGGCACCTCCTGCATTTCTGTTCTTCACAAAACAAGAAGTGCTGCTTCACTCTGGTGAAGCTCTGAAATGGAGAGGCAGGTGAGAGGGCTGAAATGTGGGAGCAGACGAGGTAGAAGTCTGCAAAAGGCCAGTCCAGGCCAAGACAGCGGAAGCATACAGTTAATTGTGCTGACAAGGACCTATGAGATCTCTCCCACAGACTGAACTCTCTTGGAAAACAACCTGCAGTTATGCTTTTTATTCACAAATGATAAAAAAGTTAACCATAATTGGCAGCTAAACCATTTCCTTTTCTTTCCATCAATATTTATTTTCTCTACAGCTGGATTAAAACAGTTCTTGTGGGATATCTTTGTAATAAATGTTATCAGTTCTGATTAATCTTCTAACCCTTTTTGCAGTTTAATATCTATCATTAAGAAAGAACGCTCAATTTTACATGCGTGTCTAAAACGTTTGTCATCCCAAACATCCCTTCTGAATAATGCAAACAGCAACAGCACACTTATCTTGACCTCAGATATATCTTAAAATATTAATATTGCAAAAAGATGATTTATATCTTTTACTAACACAGGCCTCCATTAGGCTTTAGCAACGTCCCATTAATCAGAAGCTGATAGGATGTTGGAAAAATACACAAGCTCCATGTTTTTTTACAGTTAATCAGGGTTATTCAAACCATCGACACACACATGCATTTTGTTCTCCTTTGCTTATATAACCAAAAGTCTAAAATGTTCCCATCTAACTTTAGTTTTAACTAAAAGGCTGCAATAAATATATTCATTTTAAAATCATGTTTTTTTTCCAAGGTTCTTAATGGCATTTATAAGACGATTAATCCATCCACAGATGGAAATGTACAGGTTTCAAAATTTCAAATCAATATCTCAAATGACCTTTAATCAATTATACTTTGTATTATTATTATTTTTTTATCACTTATGAGTTGTTTGCATCTACACAGATTTCCAAATGGCTACACAATGTCCTCACCAGAACCATATATCTGGATCAGTTGTCGAAAATGTTTTCTCCTTAAAAACAAATTCATGGATGTTTGGGTTAAAGCCAGGGCTGGCCCAAAGGAAAACAAGCTAAGGGGCTGCTTAGGGCACCAAGGCTCCCCCAGACCAAAATTTATTTGTATTTAATTTTCTATAGATTTGTTTAATGATATTATTTGATTATAATAAAAGAAAACTATTTTATGTTAAATTGTACATTTTATTTTCTTTAATACATCCTTTAATACATCTATTAGAATTAAGTAATAAGTAACAAGATTAAATCTATGTGTTAAGGCAATTTAAATATAGCTTTTGCATATATATTTACATAGTTCAAAAAGACTAATATTCCAACTTTAGATGTTGTTTTTCAAACAATTTTTTCTTGGTTTAAGGAAACTTCATTCGAATAATTTAGGTATATGCTTAACATTTTATATATTTTATTATTTATCTGTATGATTTAATTTGTTGTTCGTCTTCTGGCACCATGGATTATATTTTTCAGATTTGCGTTTCTGTATGTATATATAAAATTTTAGAGTGAGAGTAGTCACTACTCTCACTCTAAAATTTTGATGAAGATGGATGGAGAAAAAGGTAACTGCAAGAAAATATGAACACTTTGTTCTTAGACATGAAAAAAAAATCTTTATGGATTACTGAAAATAACCTAACAATAAACTGTAAAAGCGATAGAAAGAATTGTTGACTTCATGACATATAAATAATATAGAATGTATTAGTCTCTATATGTAATACTGTAGTCTTACTCAGGACATATGAGACACACAAAAGTGGAGGAATGTGCTCTGGTCAGACGAAACCCTAACAGAACATTTTGGATTATATGTAAAGTCCAGTGGCAGAAAACTTAAACCTCATACTTTGAACATATCATTCCTATAGGCTGCAGCATCATGTGGGAGCAGGTGGAAGGGAAGATAACGGGGGTTCCTGGAAGAGAACCGGGTAGAGGCTGTAAAAGATTGGAGACTGGATTGTTGGATCCTCGTCCGGCTGGACAATGATTCTAATGACACAGCCAAAACTCCTGTATCGCAATTCAGGGATATCTATGGGGTAGAATGGCCTAGTCAAAGCTTAAGTACAAGTTCCTTTTCCATTTGAATCAAATCGAAAAATTCTACTTACTGGAACTATCCAACCAATTTGACTGAGGTGTAGCTCAGGTAAATTTTTTTAGCCTCTTAATTAGACTATTTTATTTTTTTCTGGCCTATCATATAAAACATAAATGAACTACATTGAATTTTAAGGCAGTAAATTGGGAAAAATATTCATGAATACTTGTCATATACTTATTTAAGAAACAACTTTGATAGTATAATTTGATTTTAGCCCCAGGAGGTTTTTTTAATCACTTTAAAGTCATAAGCATGGGTGCAATAATTGTGAATGTCCGGTTAAAAGATGGTGTAATGAAGTTTATTGTTTCAATGTAACATAGAGCTAACCCGAATATTACAGCACAAGTTTTATCATTAAAGATATACGATCTAATGCGATTATAAATGCACGGTGTCTAACAACAGGTCACTGAGAGATATTTGCTAGGCTACAAAGTGCTCTTTACTTTAGACCACATCATAAACTATAACTCTATCATGTGATATATTTACAGCAGAAGAAACCTGCTCTGACAAAGTCCTTTACTGTCACTTTTATTTTGTTTTATTGCAGCGGATATACGATTGCTGTACGGCACATTTTATGGCAGACACTATCCCACACATATATACAGATTGGAGTCCAGAACCAGGCTGACAGCAGGAGATGTATACAGCTCCAGCCGAGGTTATCTGAGAACCACTGTTACAGCACTGGCGGTGATTTTAGACAATGATAAAAGTATAAGACGGCGCCCGTAAATCGACTGAATGAGCCCCTAGAGCCACATCTAAAGCACTAATACTGCATTAGTTGATAATCATTAACAGGTAACAATCCCCTTGATATTTTCATTAGCGCCATTAAAAAAAGGAACTTAATTAAAAACAACATATCCTTGCTTTTCCCAGCATTCGCTGGGGTTGAGCTCATTTACATTTCACATTAGGTCCTCTGATAACTCCAGACATAAGAAAAGATGCTAGATTTTTACAGAGAAACATGTCGAAGGGTGTAAAGGGTGTCTGTTCACTTGTAGGTCCTTACATCATATGGCCATGTCAAGTGTCCTCGGTTGTCCATCAGCAGTTTAGCTTGTCCAACCTTTGTCCCATTTGTTATCTACTTCCTCTTTATCGAAAACTCTCTCTAAATCATAAAAAAGTCCACAATTTGCTTTTCAGTATTGTTTCATAGTTTTAGTTTACGAAGAGAGAAGTTTCTTCAAAGTCAAAATGAAAAAACCCAATGATGGGATAGTTTCGGGTATGGTATCCTACGATTTAAGAGTTAAAGGTGATAGATCCATTACTGAAGACTGACCCTTTGGTGACCTCTGTGCTGACGGTGGAGAGTGGGACGATTTCGTACCTGTCCACAGCCCCCCAGCACCGACAGCGCAACACCGTGGACTTGAGCTGCTTCTGGAAGTTGCTGTTTAGGAACCCATAGATGATTGGGTTGACGCAAGTGGAGACCATGGCAGTGAGGTGGCAGAAAGAAAAGATGACGTCGTCTTGGCCACAAGACGGGATGGCTTCGTGGTTCCAGTCAAACACTGTGTTGAAGATGTTTAGAGGAAGCCAGGACAGGGCGAACGCCACCACGATGGAGATCAGCATGGCGTTGATCCTCGTCGAGCCCTTGTTCTTTTTCTGAGTCGCATTCCTGCCCCGCTCAACCATATCCTTCCTCCTTCTCAAGCGCAGGTAGATGTGCAGGTAGCAGACCAAGATAAGCGTGAGAGGGAGCAGGTACTGGAAGACGAGTAAGGAAGTGGTGTACGCGCGGCGCTTCTCAACTGATGGCCACTGCTCCATGCAAATGAGGTGGTCTCTGACAGGAATGGGGAGGCTCAGGTTCTGGAAAGGCAAGGTAAGCACACTGTACTTGAGGAAAGGCACAGACATAAGACAGGCCAGGATCCAGGTGACAGCCACCGCAAAGTAGGACTGGCTCACCAGTGGTTTCCATCCCGTCGGATGGACTATGAGTTGGTAGCGCTCCATGGCAATGAGGACGAGGGAGAAGATTGAAACGGTTACTGAAATGCACTGGATAAAGGGTGTCAGCTTGCACAGGGTATCTCCCAGGATCCACTGGTCCATCAGTGTGTAGATGATAGTAACTGGCAGGCATATGATGCACATTAGAATGTCAGAACAAGACAGATTGACGATGAAGATGTTGGTAACATTTTGCATCTCCTTGTGCCGCATGATGACAAACACCAGACAGGAGTTCCCAATGAGGCCTACAACCATGACTATGCTGTAAGCAATGATTAGGAAAGTGGTCCCGCTCACTGAGAGCGAGCAGTCCTCAGTGGATTCCCACGGTATCTCTTTCCACAAGGTCTGATTGTGGCTGGCATTATGCTGTAGCTCCATGACCCGATGTTTCTTGGCTCCCGTCAGAGAAAGGACTAAAATCAGTTCACTTTGCCAGACTTGATTTGACTTTTATTTACACATTTTATTGTGTCATGATTTGTAGGTTCAGGTTCGTGTTTATCTTCTTTGTAGCCTAAAAAGAGAGAAAAGTTTACTTGACACAAATTTAAAGAGCTAAGGAGCAAAAATACATTAAGAACAGCTACTCTGATTTACTGAAAGCTGATTCCAAGATTTGACTGTATTCAATAAGCAAATCTGATTCTGTAGGTCAAGTTTTATTGTCTTGTACCATTAAATTTTTTGGTTCCCCCAATACCTTGAAACTGACCCCTTTTTCATCATTCTGTTTCATTCTTTCTCTATTATCCCACTCTGCAGAATCTGTTAATTCAATCTCTAATGTTATGCTCTCTGTGCTTTTTGTCATAGTAGCTTCACCTCATCTGTTCCTTTGAGACCACCCTGGAGAGAAATATCAGCCGTGCTGCTGCCATCAACACCTTGTTTATGGATGTTGAAGATCGGCCTATTTTTCCGGTGTAGTCCTGTTTCTCTGGCTGTGACTAACTGGATGTGCTCTCTTCATCCTCTGACATGGGAGCTGGCTCAGAGCTCTTCTGCCTGGCTGTGTGTTTCCTGGATGGGGCCGTCTTTTACGGTTGCTTTTTGTATCTATTCTTCTTTCTCCTTGCACCCCAGTTTGCCTCAGCAGATGGCCGCTCACACTGAGCCTAGTTCTGCTGAATATTTCCTCCTGTTAAAAGGTAGTTTTTCCTCTCCACTGTCACTACAAGCATGCTTAGTGTGAGGGATTGCATTCAAATCAATGAGTTGATGCAATTAACTGGCTTTCCTTAGATAGAAAACTGAATCAATCTGACTGGATGATCTGGTGAACTGTAAAGTGCCTTGAGATGACGTGTTGTGAATTGGCGCTATATAAATAAACTGAATTGAATTGATTTGAATTGTCAACAGGAATGGTTTTAAATCAAAGCATTGGGCTCCTGTGATACATTTTGTCTAAACACCATGAAACTGGCATGCACCTTAGATTATCATACTGTGAAGATCTCATGCAGAATGCCTCATTGCCTCTATGCATATTAGAGACAAATTCCACTTTATGCATACAGGCAATGGATTTGCTATTAGAATAATGGGAAATTCATGATGGAAATGAACAATGTTTATATGCAAATATGAGGCTGTGAGGAGGAACACAGATTTTTCTCTCTCCTTGAGTGCAGTCTATGGAAATAACTGATGCACTCATGGGAGATCATCAAGAAAACAAAACAAAAAACAAAAAAAGATACTGAGTTTTGCAGCATTGCTTTAATAGCCCGCTGATTTAAATTTCCATTACAATAACGAGGATAATCACTGCACTTTCATTGGCAATCGTTTCGATTGGCTGTATTCGTTCCTTTTGATGGTGAGAATCTATTTTGTTTCTCTCCATAAAGAACAGAGTCCCCAGTCACAACAGCCACCATCCGTGTATGACAGCACATGCAGTCTTTACAGGCACCCACAGTATAAATTAATGTACTGGAAAATATCACAGAAATGAGGTTCCATTAAACCAAGATGAAGAATATCTGTATATTTTGCATGGATATCCTTATTTACATGCATATTTCTTAGAGTACATGCACAGCAATAAAATCGTTACTGATAAGCTGGTATGATATGCCGAAGGCTCCATTCAACCGGAATACTAGTTTTGCAACACGGCTATCCAAACAGAATTATATCTGCAGGATATATCATATTTAACTTTACAGACGACTCCTTAACAATGATAAATGTTGACAGGTGGGACATTAATGGCTTGTGGCCGTCTCTGTTATGAGCTGTAATGACCTATTAGGATGTGCTGTTTCATTTGCGGTGATTAGCCTGAGTGTTCCTCATCAAAGAAGTACAAGCACAAAACAACTTTACATATCGTAGAAAAGGATTCCTATGACAAGCACACAGAGAAAGCAACCCTGCAGCTTAACCTGGTCAAACCATTTTGCTTCCTTACATACTGCAGCCTTGATGCTGATTATTTATGGCAGAATTTGGACGTTTAAAGAGATGCAGTTTTGTGCATTTTGTCTGCTGGCAGAGAAGGCAGTTTATGCAAGGAAATGTACAAAAGCAATCACTTGAAGCTTACAAGCTTTCACCCTTAATGACATAAGTGAATTGCAATTGTTACAAAGGAATAAAAGCTGCAGAAAAATATTAATATAGAGGGAAACTCAATGGAGTTGAATGTGTTTTATAAATTTTCATTTAAATGCATAAAGGAAATTTTTTAAAGAATTAAACAAATAAGGACAGATAGTGTCAGGGGCTGAAGGTGTGACCTACCCACCTCCCTGGATCCACACTCCGGCTGCAGCTGTGTCTCTGCCCGCAGCCCAGCTGCAGGTAAGGGACGCTGCTGTAAGGAGAGATGCAAGTCTGTTCCCCTTTAGGGACCCGATAGCAGGTAACTGAACAGGAGCCACATGCACTGTTACGGAGCTGGGTGGAGAATCACAGGTAAATCAGAGAAAAGAATAAGTCCAATAATTGCAGGTAATCAAGGTAAATCTCTATATACAGCAGAAAAAAGTGAGTCCTGGAGGTTTTTTTGCTTTAAAAAATAAAAATCCCAGTTTGACAAATAGTAAAATCCCTAATTTTAATATTATAATTAGCTGTCTTTTCTTACCGCAGAAACCTGTTCTTCTGCGACTGTTGCGCATCAGGTGAGCTGAGGGTCTGTGTCCTGCCAGGATCCCGGACAGGAGCTGGGCTTTCTCTTAAAGCGCCTTCATCATGCCTCTCTCTCTGGCGGGGATGAGACTACCGACGGGGAACATCTTACATAATAACTTCTGCAAGGCACACACGCGCGCGCCAACGCGTGAACACGCGGGGCGCTGTCGCTCCTTGCGCGTGCGCCACAACACGGGGCCAATAAGGAAATTGAGATGTCTGAGCTGTGCGGTGCACCCACCTGAAGCTAATTAAAGGAGAGAAGGGACAGTCTGAGACTTCACTCCATCATCTAATATTTATATAAACATAAGCACTGAATAAAATCTTATTTAGTCTGTTATAGGTTATAAATATTTTAAATACCCCCCTCCAACAGAGGCGTAGCCAGAAAAAGGGTGGCCAGGAAATAACCAATGTACACTGAGGGGTGGATGAAAGCGGATAGGCACCAGCAAGGTCAACCTACACTGTTCCAACAGGAAATTAACGAGCAAAACATCCATATTTTCCAAATAAAGACACACTATACTTTCATACAGCCTTTGCTAACATATAGACGCATATATTTAAACATCCGTAATTTCTAAATAAAAGATATAGTGAATAAAATTCTTTCAGTTTTGAGTTCTGGGGTGTAAATCTTTTCCATTGTCGTTACTTACCTACTTGTATCAATAAACTTTCTGCATACAATTTAAAAAAGATATTTACAAGAACTAATATCTACATAAATTGATAATTTGATAAGTTTTTATGAAAATTGTTATTGATGTTTGATTTCACTGAAGAATCCTAGATGACTTGCAGAGACCCTGTCATGGTTTTGGTTGTGTTGTGATTTACTTTGCTCCTTGTTTTCTAGTTTTATTGGTTTAATTCCTATTTTGTTGTAGTTTCTTGATTTATGTTAGATCTCTGGTTTTTCTGTTTTCCTCTGTTGCCCACTTGTGTATGTTCCCTTCCCACTTGGCTCCTTCTTTGTCTCCTCTCACACCCTGCTCCTTGTCAGCTCGTTAGCCCTGCCTTTGTCTCTGTTAGCTATACAGTATATACTCTCCCTCTGCTCTCACTCCTTGTTGGTTCCTTGTTGCTGGTCTTGTCATCGCCGTTGTCCTCTCACCTTGTCTCTCCCTGGCTCCTTGTGCGTGTTTTCCCTTGATGTCTCCATGGTTCTGGTCTGTTACATTTTTTTGTTGGATTTTTGGATTCCTGCTTTGTTAACCATTTTCATCATTAAAAACTACAAGAATTCGCCTCAGCCTCTCTGCCTCTGCATTTGGGTCCTCAAAACCACAACCAAAACGTGACAGACCCATAATTTTCTCTTTACCCCATGTAACACAAAATCTAGCTCTGAAAAGAGCATGAATTCTGTACTTATCATCTTTGATGTTAGTATATTGATGTTTATAATTACCCACAAAATAAATAAAAATTTTTGAATATTCCACTTGATTATCTGTATTAATGCAAACAGCCCTTTCATAGCTGCAGACTTTTTAGGGTGTGTGAGTGTTTTAAGGGCCACTGTTACGGCTCCCCCCCTTTACTGGGGAGAGAGGGAAGTAACTTGACAACCACAAAAAAATTCAGAGACCAAGTGAATGTTAGAAAAGAAAAATCAGGGATTTATTGGTTACAGAAAATCCCGAGCAACTCATACAAATGGTGGGGGAGAAAGGGACGATTAGGTGGTGCCAAATCAAAGAAAATAATAAAACAAAAACAGGGCCTACCTACGGTCTAAGCTACATAAAACAAATGAAAAAAAACCCTGCTTAACTAATCTAACAAAAAGATTCACCAAAACTTTACAAGGGTGGCATCCACCTACTTACCTAGTGTGTTTAACAGAAATATTCCTACGTGATGAGATGTACAGGGTACCCCAACCTTACCTTGTCCACTAACTCCCACCACAGACCATTAGACACACAGAACACAACCATGCAGCAAGCAAGCCAAGGAAAAAAAAGGGGGTAGGATCTCTAAGTGGCTTGCTTATATAGGACCTCCCTGGATCCTGATTGGTCCAAAGGTGGAGAGAATCAATCAAGGGAAGATGGATCCCAGCTTCTGCTACCTGTGTAGAAGCAAAGGGGAGGGGGGAGGGGAAAGAAAAACAAACAGCCTGGCAGGCATGTAACAGCCACAAAATCAAATATTGCTTAGGGCCCCCGTTGTGGTTTGGGTTGGCCCTGATCAATGGACTGCTAACTTTATATCACATGAGGGTAGTAGTTACTGACTGAGATCGCACAGCTAAGACCTAGATGTTCAATCCCTCTATTTATATGAGGATTTTGCAGGTGGCATGAGAGAACTGCTGAACTGTTGAAAAAAACAACCACAACCTTAAATTATGTCACAGACTCTGCATCACACTGATAACACCAAGCCAAGAATACTGCATATTTGCACCATATATATTAATGCCCTGATCTTCCATATATATGCATTTTTTGCACTATTTTTTGTCTCCCACACTGTTTATATTTGATCACTGCTACACTTTATGGAATGGAAATGTTCATTTACTGTCTGAAAACTGTAATAAAACGAAATTTTGTTTTGTATACACTCTGTGTATACAAAATGGCAAAGTCTAAGAAAAGCTTGAATGACCCACTGTCAGCCCAATAACTATTGTCAAACTATGTATTTTTAACTTTATAGCTATGTTTGACTTACAACTGTCTTGAATCTATAATTCAGTCTATCTAAAAACCAGTCTAAGCAGTCTATGTTTAATGAAGAAAGCAGCGGCTGCTTGTTGAGCTCGGTGTAAATAGTGATTTATGTCCACAAGGAATGGCGTTTTAATAATAAATGTTACTCAAAATGCAAATGCAGTGGAATTATAATTGAATGTTTTTAATCAGCATTTTTCAAATACTCTTGTGATTGATCACAAACAACAAGCTGAATCATTTTAAGCATTAGGCTTTATATAGTTACTTCTTTTCTCTGTGTCTTATGTCGTATATGTTTACCTGAAAGTTAAACACACAACAGCAATGCCCCAGATTAAGAAGATGTGATGTTCAGAACAATGTGGCATTGGCTCTTGTCAGGTTTGGTGGAAATTAGTTGAGGACCCAAATGCAGATATGAGAAGGTAGAGATGAGATTTGCTGAGTTAATGAGGGTTCCAAAAGACAACGGAGGCAAAATTCCAGAACAAAAAATACAGAAAACCAACAAACCAAGAGATGCTGCTTGGGAAAACACACAAGAGGAGATAAGTAATGACGAGAAACCAGCACTGAGAACTATACAGGGAGAGTATATATGGGAGAGAGAACAAAGACTGGGATAATCAGCTAATATGGAGCAGGTGTGGATAGAAGTGACTAGAAGGGAGTTAGGGGAAAGGAGACAGGCAAAAGGGGGCAACACAGGGTAACTCAAGAAATACATAAGAATTTAAAAACAACTAGAATAACACAAAATAGAAATAAAACCAATGAAAACTCAAAGAGAAAACTTAAACCGAACCAAAAGCATAACAGCTCTTCCTCCATCCTATAACAACTAGAAACATATTTGAATACACAGTGTTGGGAAAGTTCTCTTTCTACGTGAACTAGTTCAAAGTTCAGTTCACACATTTTAAAATGAACTAGTTCAGTTCATAGTTCACAATTCCAAAAAACGAACTAGTTCATAGTTCTTTTTTTTTTTTTTTTTTCATATATTGCTCAATTACACCATAGCCTACTGTAGAACCACAGACAGCAATTATTTTATCAGTTGTAACACTGAAACTGTGCGTCAGATTTCATCTTCATATCCAGTTTTGAATCCTTATCCAACCAGGGTTTACATTAGCATTGAGGGGACAGCATTTCCCCATTGTTGCTTTAACGCTTTGTTGCTGTCCATTCACTTCACACTAGTAGCAGCTGCAGCTTTCACCCCTACAGTATATTCTCAAAAACATCAGGAAAAATGTGCTGCTTGAATGGTCTTTTTTATGAGTAATTATTAAAAGAAAAATAGGAAAGTAGTCTTTAAGGTGCAAATGCTTTTTTTTTATTTTAATAATTTTTTCCATTTGAAATTCCATTTCAATACATACTAAAAAGGAATACTGGAATCCTGGAAAATTATACCAGGCAGGTTTAACAAACAAGTTACATGGATAGTAAAACCCTCAAGAACAGGGGTCTTCTATGTTTTCCAGACCAAGGACCCCCAAACTGATGGCGAGATGGAGCGAGACCCCCTAACTATATATATTGTATGAAATTGTGTCCTATAGTCACTCTATTACAGATGGAGTAATGTAAAGAAATTAATTTCTCCCTGGGATTATTAAAGTTTTTCTGATTCCTGGTTGATGGGACAGGTGTTGTGAATGAAACGGTGCCCAGCTTGAAAGAGCTCCTGTGTGTCGCTGAATGTGTGCATTGATGACTGAAAGACATCTTCTGTCTCCATTTATCTGTTTACTACAGTGTGTTGATTTCATGTTAATGAGTATTTAAAGACATTTCAATTAGTGGGAAAAAAAATGCAGGGGGGGAATATAAAAATATCAACTAACCATGCAGACCCTCATGCAGTACCTCCGTAGACCCTCTAGGGGTCGCGGATCCCCTGTTGAAGACCTCCGCTCAAGAAGATTTTACTAACACAAACTGAGGGACCAGGCTGAGGTAGGAATTTAAGGTTACTGAAGTGCGGATTTTTTTACTGAAAGCCGGCGGGCAAACTTGTTGCCATCATCCTCACCGACCACCTGGTCATAAACCTGTTTTAAGTCGCCTCCATGCTGCTGTGGCTTCCACGCTGCATTTTGTTTTGATGCCGCACGCGGCTGTAGGCTACGACACTGGTAGCTGCTGTTGCCAGATTGGGTGTTTTTCCCGCTACATATTAAGGCTTGTTTACGGTGTGATTTAGCTGGGGTTTCGCCTGGAGGGCTTTATAGAAATCTGGCAACCTATTGAACGGAGTTGAACTGAGAGAGCGTGCCGTTCACAGACACCAGAATGAACGAGTTCACAATAACGTTCATCAGGCAATAATGCAGTACGTTCAGTTCACGTTCGCCCAAAATATGAACGAGTTCATGAACTTTCGTTCAATGAACGCGTTCAGGCACAACACTGTGAATACAG